GAACATCTATAAACAGAAACCTACGGCCTCCAAAATTCACATATTCTATCTCTGTGCTTCTTAAACTGGAATACACACTCACCTGAGTTAAAGGTAGACTACCATGTGACATAAATATCCAAAACTACAAAATAAGTATGGTACACACCTCTGGTGTGACAATCTTAATTGTTATTTTGCTAAAGAATAAAGGATGTAGAACATAATTTTTAAATTAAAACAAATAAAAGGCTATTACTTCAAAGCACTTTTGCTCGTGAAAGGCTGCTCTACCTACAAGCAGAAGCCACTTCCTTCTGTCGTGAAGATGACTTCCATGGAAATTTTTGAGAAGGAATGGAATCTGAAATCTGGGGAGAACTGGCACGTCCAGCATTGAAAAGAAGTTATATGCCTTCTTAGGTTTGGATTTATCAGTTATAAGTAAAAAGGAAGAGAACATGTCTAAAGTAACACACTGTGTTAAAGAAAGCTTGTTTGCCCACTCTACCTTCTGCAGAAACCACATGTTTCACTGTCACTGTAAATGCAAACTGTAGTCCCAGTTACCCATATTTAAACAAGTTCAGGTATGAATCTTTCCCATCTGTTTTAGGGTAAGCATTCAATTCTGTCAACTAGTAACTTGCTTAGAGCGGGTTGGAGATGAATTAGCAACCACATTGGAAAGAAGTTTCCATAATTCCTAAGAAAGCTGCTCAGTAATCTAAATATTGAGAGACGTGGATCCCTTTGTTTCTCGAACACATAACTTTGTATTAGAAATTACAGAGGGAGCTGTAATTTGTGTGAATATGTCCCGTATGTCTCCAGTTTGAAAATTTTGAGTCTGGAATTTTTCTGAACCAATAACATGTAGAAAGGAAATGCAATTATAATGCTGTACACTGAAGTCCAGAGATCTATACTCTGATTCCTGCTTTGCCTTAAACTAGCTATCATTTAATTTGCTCAGTTTCTTTAGCTAGACTGTGACAGTATTTGTTGAGATGATCATACACTTCATTTCTGATGTCTGGCAACACACACACGCGCACACACACACACACTCACACACACGCATCAAATCTAACATCAAAATGGAAAGCACAGTAAAGACGCTTACCTAAGACTTGGATTTTTCCAAAATATGGCGCAAAATATTAAGTGGTGTCTCACATATAGTAGGCATTCAACAACCAACCAGGGAGCTTCACTGGTGGCACAGTGGATAAGACTCCATGCTCCCAATGCAGGGGGCCTGGGTTCGATCCCTGGTCAGGGAACTAGATCCCACATGCATGCTGCAACTAACAGTTCACATGCCACAACTAAAGAGCCTGCAATCTGCAACTAAGGAGCCCACCTGCCGCAATTAAGGAGCCCACCTGCTGTAACTAAGACCCGGTGCAACCAAATAAATAAATAAATATTTTTTAAAAAACAAAGAAACAAAAAATAACAACCAACCAGTAGTTGAACTGATATGGTCCTAATAAACTTGGAAAAATAATTAATTTAGGAGTGAAGTCTGGCATAAATATGCCAAATTGCATCCATAATTAGTTTCTTTTATAAAATAACTGACATGATAGGATAGAATAAAAAAATTAATAACTTCAGAATTTCAATATTATATTCATTCAAAATCCAATGGATCAGTACGTTATTGTGAGAGTTTAGGCCAGTTTCTTGGGAGTTCAGGCAACTGCAAAATTAGAGGGCACAGTCTCCAAATCTGCCCTCACTTCTGACACTAACTGGAAGTTCGGGGTATTCCAAAACCACCCTCAGTCTCATTATTTCTCTAGAAGGACCCTCAGAACTCCCTGAAAGCTACTATACTCACAGTTACAGTTTATTACAGGGAAGGATACAGATGAACACCAGCCAAGAGAGGAAGCAGATAGGGTGGAGTCCAGGGAAGTACCAAACATGGGGCTCTCACTGTCTTCTCTACATGTTACTCTCCGGGCAGTGATACATGACAATATACATAGAGTTGCCAACAAAGGAGGCTCACCCAAGTCTCAGTGTTCAGAGATTTTATTGGGGCTCCATTATGTAGTATGATTAATTGATTATTCACATGGCTGTTTTCCATCTCCATGTTGACTGGTACCATGACACTCAAACCCCCATCCTTAATCACCTGTCATTCTCATATCACAATTATGACCAAAATATTAAGTCACAGATATAAAAGTACTTCAAAATATCATAATTACACTACAAACAAAAGTTAGTGTTGGCTTTTTTCCTATAGGTTTCTTTTAAAAAAATCAGGCAAGTCTTACCAAAAAAAAAAAAAAAGAGGCAGCATTCTATAATATAATTCAATCATTTTTTTTTTTTTTGCGGTACGCGGGCCTCTCACTGTTGTGGCCTCTCCCGTTGTGGAGCACAGGCTCCGGACACACAGGCCCAGCGGCCATGGCTCACGGGCCCAGCCGCTCCACGGCATGTGGGATCTTCCCGGACCGGGGCACGAACCCGTGTCCCCTGCATCGGCAGGCGGACTCTCAACCACTGCGCCACCAGGGAAGCCCAATCATGATTTAAAATACATAAATTATTTTAATTATTAATGATAAGTTGACAATTTTACAACGAAATATTAATTAATAACTAAAATATTAATGACACATAATATGATGGTGCAAATTAATAAAAGCAATTTTTATATCTAGCACAGTATCTTGATGGTGCGAAGAAAAAATAATGTTACTATATAGGACATAATAATTTCAGAGTCTATCACCCCATCTCTTTAATGTTCTCCAAGAGGCTACCTTTGACTGTATATACTCTATTTACTAGTATTCTGTAGAAACTGCTAACTTTTAGGAATGAGGAGGTTGATCTTATCTGAGAAGAGGTAATAGAGAAAACATAGTGAAAACAATTATTTTAACAACTTCACCCATTTCAAGAAATTTCAATTTAAAAATTTAGCTGGGAAGAATAATAGGATGGCACATTACTTTGAGCATATGACTAAAGGGAATATAAAATTGTTATAACTTAGAATTTTCAAATCATGCATAAATTTCCCTGCTTAATAGCATTCTATCAAACCTAGCAACTTTGCATTGTCATTCATTCCCTTAACCTGCATAGAAATCCAGTAGATGCCACAGAGATATAAAAGCTTACAATAAAACCTCTAAATGCTGGAAAGCCATAGGATGATCTATAAACACATGCATGGTAGAGTAGTAGAGCTACATGCATGTTTGCTTGGGTAAGAAATGTAAAAGAAAGAACAGTGGGATGGATCAGAGGACACTCAATGGGCTGGTAATGCTATCATTGTACCTTTAGATGTGTGGAGTCTGAAGTAGCATACAGAAAGAGGAGGGCTTTAGAGGTGGGGCTTTTTGAAGTCTTTATCTACTCATTGGTCCCAGTCATGAAGGTAACAGTGATCCAGATGCTCACCTTCCCTTGTTCAAAAAATGAATATAAGACCTTACTTCAGTTCTATAGCTTGAATCTTGAACCAAAAAACACGAAGACCAAAGAATTTTCTTCTTAATAACAATGATTTGGAACCTTAGGTCTCCTGTAAGTCCAACTGTTCCTAAGACTAGGTTTTCTGTCGCTCCTTCAATTTTCTGGGCAACCCCCATAACCTTTCAATAGATCCCAGCAACATTCTCACTTTTACTTAAGTAAGTTAGAAGTGGTTTCTGATGCTTTCAAAGAGCCCTGACTGAAACAGTTCCTATATCCAAGAATGGTACTGACATCTTTGGTCAAGGACCTGTCAAGGTGACCAACGCAAATTTTTCATTTACTTGATATTCACCTCAGTTCTGTAAGAGATCTGAAAAGTGCATGAAGACATGGTTTCTACTAGCCAGTATGCTTTAAATATAGCCAGAGAGACAGAAATCACACATGGGAAATGATTACAGAACTATGAATAACTAAATTACTAAAATTAAAAAAAAAACCAATTTTCTGCGTAATACCAGTTTTGGAAAGGAAGGAAATGAAATATAACTGAATCTTGGGCACCTTCTGGAAGATCAAGATTGAGTACTGTGAAAGGAAAATCAAAATGGAGTTGGTATTGCTAAGAGCTCTCTTCAACGGAGCCAAGAGGCCGATAAGGAAGTGTGACTTACGCACCATCTCAGCCTAAATGGAATCCAACCTATTGACCTGATGAAGTAATCCAGAACACCCACCAGAAATTCAAGATACTTATCAGGCCCTTACCCTAAAATAACTCATGATTCCTTAAGGGCAAATATTTTCTGACTAGCATCAAAGTTAATCACAATTCTCACCAGGCAACTTTTAACAGCCTAGTGGGTTTCTGTCTTTATAAGCCTGACTCTGTCCCTTCCTCAAAACACTCCTTCAGGTTACCGGAACGTGGGTCTCTCGAATTGCAATTCTTAAAACCCCAAATAAACCATTTTCTTACTTGCAGCCTCCTGCATTATTAGTTTGGTTGACGGTACAAGCTAGAACCTAAATAAATGGCCCTTATTATTAGGAGTATAAGTACACTAGTCTCTCAGTATTTACAGGGGATTGGTTCCAATTCCCCTACAGATGCCAAAATCTGTGGATGCTCAAGTCTCTTATATAAAATGGCATAGTATCTGCATATAATCTGTGTACATCCTCCAGTCTACTTTAAATCATCTTGATTACTTATAATACCTGATACAAATGTAAATGCTATGTAAATAGTTGCCAGTGTGCAGCAAATTCAAGTTTTGCTTTTTCAAAATGTCTGGAATTTTTTTTCCATATATTTTTGATTTGTGGTTGGTTGAACCCACGGATGCAGAAACTGGATACAGAAGGCTGACTGTAAATTAATTTCAATGAAGAAAAATATCTAGTGCACACACTTAAAGAAGACAGTAAAATCCATACTGTCAAGAAATGGCTTTGGAGGAGTATAATGAAGAGTCAAGTCTCCACTGATAAAATGCACATTAGGAATGCAGCTGGCAGTGTTTGGGTTCCCTCAAAAAGGTACACATAAACAATCTTACCTCTGCTCACCACCAGACACACCTTGTTCAAAAGCTCTGTCCAGTCTTCAGAAAAGAAATGAGCCAGATGCTAGCTGGAAAGGCAACAGGACAGACACCCAGGGGTGAGAAGGTAGAAAAGAACACCTACAAGAGAAGAGCAAAAGTAATGGTCCTGTTAAGTGTAAGGAAGAAAAGAGTTAGAGGAGATAATTCAACAGCTTAGAAAGGTAGTATTTCAAGATGTCAGAAGTGACAGATTTGCCACTGATGCAAAAAACAAAGTAAAAAAATAATGACAAATGACAACAACGAATGTTTATGAATACCATTGTCTTGGCTTTTGAAAGTAGTCAATCTCTTTAATTTGCAGTGAGGATTTTTACTTATTTGTTTTAAGGGTTCCACTGGACATAAATTTCCATGACTTGGGGTTTTATGAGTGGCTTGACTGAGGGATGGGTCACTCCCTGGGGTATCTGTCTACAAAGGTAAAGAACAGGACAGGCCAATCGAGGGAGACTGAGAAATTTTTACTTAACAGATTTTCTTTCAGGTTCAATACTGTTTGTGGTTCAAAAGACATACATTGATGAGCAGGGTGACTATATAATCTATTATCCTATTCCACACTCTTTTGAGAGTTATAGGGGGTGTTAATAATTGTGTTAGAACAAGGCACAGACCACAGAGATATATAGTCACCGTATTGCAAGCCTCTGAGGGAAGGAGCGGGGAGTAAGGTTCCCAAAAAGGATTCCCCAAAGAGTAATAGTAGTTTGAGCAGGTATTTGTTCAGCTGAGTATCATGTAGTCCTGGGGCCAGAGTACACTGCTCAGGACAGCTTCCAGAGAGGAAAGATTCCTTCTCTGCAGCCCCTGCCTTTCAGCTTGCCCTGTCAAAATATACTGAACACATATTTCAAGAGCATTAATTTAACAGGGCATTAAAAAAAATTTAGTTTGAATTTACAGTATCAAAGATATATATTGAAAAGTAAGAAGAGATTCTAGAAAGGCAAGACACTGTTTTTTCTAAATTTCCCATCTGCACAACAAAGCTTTCCTTCTCTTCACAAATATTTCTCCTTGAAACCCTTCCCCAACTTTTGTCCTCCTCGAGATATTTTCAGAGTTGCCATGCCTTCATTTCATTATGGCCTGTAAATCCTGAAACTTCTGAAGAAAGCCCCTTATATATTCACAGCTGCACCAAGCAAGGAAGAGACTCCTGGAGCCCAGAGTACATTAACCAAAAAAGCATCTGATCCGCATCTGGCTCAATCAGTGAGCCTGGTAGATGTGGGGAGTGAGCGCTGAATCGTCCAATTTGATTACAGTTAGCTGCTGGCACCAGGTCATTTCCACACGACAACTGGAGTTGTCCTTTCTATATTTAGACAGAGATAACGAGGTCATGTGTGCAGACACGTAATTTGCCCCATAGACAGAGACTTGAAAGGTCAATATGACAGCAAAATAAATCTCTGAGGAGGAGGTTGAAAACTTCACTTGGGGGCTTCCCTGGTGGCACAGTGGTTGAGAGTCCGCCTGCCTGCCGATGCAGGGGAAACGGGCTCGTGCCCCAGTCTGGGAAGATCCCACATGCCGCAGAGCGGCTGGGCGCGTGAGCCATGGCCGCTGAGCCTGCGCGTCCGGAGCCTGTGCTTCACAACGGGAGAGGCCACAACAGTGAGAGGCCCGCGTACCGCAAAAAAAAAAAAACTTCACTTGGCTCTAAAGCAAGGAAGCGATCACCTTGCAGTAATGGATCAGGAAGTGATGGGTTTTAACTTTTCTCATCTCTCCCCTGTGAAGAGGGAGGCAAATGAGTAATAATGGGAGGGCTCCAGATTATGGGGTGGTGATCACCTGAGCGGTAAGCAAACAGACTTGCTCCTGAGCCAGAAGAAAGCACGTGGCAAGGAGATCTAATACCAGGAGCCTGCGATTTCACTAACCAACAGTTCTGTAGAAAATACAAGTCAGGAGTGGCAGAGGTCGGGTTGCTGGCTTGTGCCCTCCCTCGGTGACAGCTCCAGGCAGTTTTACCATCCAGCTGCTCTGTTTTTCAAAACTAAAGTAATCGGAATTGAACTACAGAGCTCTACTAAAACCCTAGCAATTAACAGTGCGATTTCCCAAATTGCACTGTAATGGGAAAGTGTCCATCAATCAACCCAGTGAAATAACATATTTTCTCACCAGATGTGAGATTTAATATCTTCATAACTCTCCGGATTTACCACTTATGAATTGTCAGCCTTGCCTGGAGCTCTGAGAATTAATGGACTACATCCCTGCTATGCAAGGATAGTTTACAGCTGTAAAATATCCCCACCTTCATTTTAGATATATTTACAAAAATGATCTTCTTTAAGATGTAATCAGAAAACATGCTAGATGGGAAATCTTTATTTCTATTTACTATGTTATATATTATCATTGTCTAGATAAATATAGTTTCCAGAGTCTCAGCACCACATGCTCTTGTAACAGGAATAACCACTTTATCACGGGCAGTGAACAATAAATTACAGTGCAAAGATGCAATGGCTTTAAGTTTTCAACTTTACGGTATCCTTTATGGATTTTTGGATAGAGACCCAAAATACTCTAAGTTTCTAATTCTGTATGTCTATACAGGTCCTGCTGTTCCTCCTGGACTAAGAAGGGAGATTAAAGCATCCACATATGTTCATCTTGTCACTGTGGTTATCAGGTACTTCAGTTCTCATTTTAGCTTTCACTCCCATCTCAAACATGTGAGCCACAGCCAGGATGAAGCTGCCTCCTGAAAGCAGCTCAGGCAGATTCTTGTGATGCCAGAACCTCCAACTTTCCAGGTTTGGAAAATTATTCTTGCTTCCACCCACAAGGGAAAATATTGAAACAGTGAAGGTCACTCCACAGGCCTTGCCTGGACTGAATTCATTTAAGAAATTATTTTTCTTCCACTGTGTTGTTCCAGGGTCTGTGCAGTAACATGTGCAGGGTGCCAAGGGGGTCCAGAGGAGGAGAGGCTGCAGGAGATCTGAGCATGGGGCTTGTAGTGGAAGTTAGGGACAGTTTCCCAGAGGAGACAATGTCTCAGCTCATCTTCCCATCACGAAGCCTATATGTTGTCAGACACTGGACTCGTCGAAATGATTATAGTTATTTTAGGGAAAAAAAGTCATGGGATTTCTGGCATTCTAAGGAAACTCAGAGACCATCGATTTCATTTACTAATTTCATAGATACATAAAATGATTCACTGAAAATTGTCAATCACACCATTGCATCAGCTGATAAAACTCACTTGGTATAATGTGTTACCCTAAATAATCTGTCATTCATTCTCAGCTCATAACATTTAACTCTCCTTGACCATATTAGTTGGCTTTAGAAGTTAACACACCTTTTTTGATTTTTTTGGAAGAAGGAAACATTATAGGACATGAAGAGATCATTTTGTCCAAAGAATAAAATTATTTGATATATCTCTGCATGATTTATTCTATCAGAGATTAAGATCACAAAGCAATAATTACATATTAAGAAACAGTTCAAAACCCCCAAAAAACAGACTGATGAACTACAACCGAGATTGATAAAATCAATTCAGATGATTATAAGAATCCCTAACAATAGAGAAATTACTATTTAATAAATAGTATTGGGCCATTGTGATACTGGTATAGAAAAAAAATTCTCTTAGAGTCATTTCTCATACCACACAGTGTATTAGTTTCAGGTGAGTCAGAGTTTAACATTTTTTTGATAACTAGGGAAAAAAAAACAACAGTTCCTCTCCAGCTATGGAAAAGAGATAAACCCCTGATACTGAAAAAATGGAATCTATTAGAATCTCGTCAGAGGCAAGATGGATGAGCACAGATATGTAAAACTAAAGCATCTGAACTATAAACCCATGCACATATGGTCACCTTATTTTTGATAAAGGAGGCAAGGACATACAATGGAGAAAAGATAGTCTCTTCAATAAGTGGTGCTGGGAAAACTGGACAGCTACATGTAAAAGAATGAAATTAGAACACTCCCTAACACCATACACAAAAATAAACTCAAAATGGATTAAAGACCTAAATGTAAAGCCGGAAACTATCAAACTCTTAGAGGAAAACGTAGGCAGAACACTCTATGGCATAAATCACAGCAAGATCCTTTTTGATCCACCTCCTAGAGAAATGGAAATAAAAACAAAAATAAACAAATGGGACCTAATGAAACTTCAAAGCTTTTGCACAGCAAAGGAAACCGTAAGCAAGAGGAGAAGACAACCCTCAGAATGGGAGAAAATATTTGCATATGAAGCAACTGACAAAGGATTAATCTTCAAAATTTACAAGCAGCTCATGCAGCTCAATATCAAAAAAAACAAACAACCCAATCCAAAAATGGGCAGAAGACCTAAATAGACATTTCTCCAAAGAACATATACAAATTGCCAACAAACACATGAAAGGATGCTCAACATCACTAATCATTAGAGAAATGCAAATCAAAACTACAATAAGATATCATCTCACACCAGTCAGAATGGCCATCATCAAAAAATCTACAAACAATGAATGCTGGAGAGGGTGTGGAGAAAAGGGAACCCTCTTGCACTGTTGGTGGGAATGTAAATTGATACAGCCACTATGGAGAACATTATGGAGGTTCCTTAAAAAGTTAAAAATAGAACTACCATACAACCCAGCAATCCCACTACTGGGCATATACCCTGAGAAAACCATAATTCAAAAAGAGTCATGTACCACAATGTTCATTGCAGCTCTATTTACAATAGCCAGGACATGGAAGCAACCTAAGTGTCCATCGACAGATGAATGGATAAAGAAGATGTGGCACATATATACAATGCAATATTACTCAGCCATAAAATGAAATGAAATTGAGTTATTTACACTGAGGTGGATGGACCTAGAGTCTGTCATAGAGAGTGAAGTCAGAAAGAGAAAAAAAAATACCGTATGCTAACACATATATATGGAACCTAAAAAAAAAAAAAAAAAATGGTTCTGAAGAACCTAGGGGCAGGACAGGAATAAAGATACAGACGTAGAGAATGGACTTGAGGACATGGGGAGGGGGAAGGGTAAGCTGGGATGAAGTGAGAGAGTGGCATTGACATATATATA